AGGATACAGAGACACAAAAAATTTCATTAACGAACAAGAAACAGATAGCAATAAGAATCGATTCAAAAAATATTTTGATCACTCGAAAATGAAATTGGAAAATAGCCAAGAGTATTCTGGAAAAAATGGGCTTCGCATCATTCGCAATCCCTTCTTCAAGGCTTCACTTAAGATATATGCTACGGGAAAGCTTAAAGCTCCCAGTAGGGATGCCAAAAGTAAAATTAAATCTAAATCAGAAGGTAATAAAGGAGTGCAGATAGTGGCTGAACAATCTGGACTTTTGCCCGCTTTCTCCAAGCAGCCCAGAGAAATTCATCACAACAGATGCTAGCGAATCGGCACAACTGATGAACAAGACATTCAAGAACAATTGGTCGATGGCTCAAAAAAGATGGCTCATAAACTGCAAGGAAATATTTGAAGTGTATGTATCAATAAAGAGATACTACGAAACAAAACAAGGTTATTTTGATACAGTCAGACAACCGCACTGTAGTTTCATACATTCAGAATCAAGGCGGTTAGGAAGTCGATAACTCTTCAAATGATGACCTACGACATACTAGAGCTGGCTGAGAAAGGAAAGATGATCATTCAAATCCAATATTTGCCTGGAAGTTACAACGGTATGGCGGACAGTCTATCGAGGAACAAACCCTCACCGGATTGGCACCTGCAGCCAACTCTAGAGTCCGTCCATAAACTACAGTAGCGCCCTCTTTCGACAGCAATGTAAGTTCTTGTATTATGGCAAGTGCTTGATTCCATTTACACAAATGTATTTTTTTTTTATTAAAAACGATTTCAAAGCGAAATATTTTTCATTATAAAGGTATGGTTGTTTACACGGAACAATTGTATTTAATTTCACTTTTTTTCTTGTAATTATTATTTGCCAAACACTTTTTATTATCATTTATTCAGGCTATTGTGCATACCCACTACTTGTGATGCCTTTACCCAGGAACAGTTTCACAAATTGTTGTGTTGTTAACTGTGCCAATAATTATGCCAACACAAGTGAAAATGTTCACTTCTACAGTTTTCCTAGTCGGTCCCATGATCAGGAAAGACACAGGAACTATACACTGAGTTTTCGTATTGATTTATGGTCTTTTTTTTTCATAAAATAGATTTTGACATTGTCAACTTTGAAACATAAACAATACCTCTTGGCTCTGATTGGTCGCAAAATGAGGTGTCCCTGCAGGTTGACATCATGGTGATTTCCATTTGCCAGTCAGTGCGCAGTGAGTGTATCCGCATCTTTTTCTAAAAGCATGTAACATGTAAGGATAAGGATACATTTTTTTTTGCACTAGTTCTACAAATGGAAATTGCTATCAGTGCAAATGGCATGTTGCGACCAATAAGCGGCATTGTTTATGTTTCAAAGTTGAGGATGTCAAAATCTATCTTGGGGAAAAAAAAGCCTGTAGTTACTTTACTCTTAATCGTTTTAAGATCCAATTCAAAAAGTACTAAAATGTGGGAGCCAGAAAGACAGTCGAGGATTTGTAGCGTCCATTTTATTGTTATATCTACCTGTAGCTCAACAGCATAAGGAGAGCTGTTTATGGAGGTTTGGCGCATAACATGCCCTTTCAAAATGGATAAGTCTCCTCCAACTTTTCGTTCAACTACTTGCAATATATGTTCAGCTTTCACTAGAGCCACACCTTCTTTGTATGCAGCTTCGTGGTGATTAAATTTGATATTTCGGAAACCAAAATGTATTTCCAGCTCCATTTTTCGAAATTCTAGTGCAAATTTGACAAACTATTAATACAAAAACTTTTGACATCTCTCACTAGGGGTCGCGAATTTCAATTTCAAAAGGATTTTTCGGAAGTGGCGAGTTCCAGAAATAGCCTATTTGCAACGAACCTTTTGAAAGTGGTACCAAAGTATGTGTCACGGGATATCAAGAAAGTACACGAATGCGTTCAGCAGGAAGTGGGACTATCAGCTAGCGTGGATTTTTCCGCCTCCCAGGTTTATAGCAAGAGTTCTATGCCACATGAGGACATCAAACGGCTCATTCTTCCTAATTGTACCAAACTGCGACAGGATATTTTGGAGAGTCGAATTGAATAACATGGCTACAGCGGGGCCTCTAAAACTGAGGAATCTATGCCTCCATCTAGTGGATGCCAAGATCCAAAAACCATTTACCTCGTGCTCAGGATTTACGATTGGAAGCTTGGAAGATACAGGGTGGGGCGAGTTAGTTGCTGATTGGTGAGACGGAGATAAAAACCTACTTCAAAAGTCATGAAGACAATCATTACTGAAAACGTATTCATCTCCATGGAAGAACTGGCTTCAATGGTGTGTTAAGAACGAGGTTGCACCCAGAGATCCTGGTCCCGCAACAGTTGCAAAATATCTCTTTTATCTACATCAATAGCAAAGGTTTTACTCCGAGTACGATTGAATTACACTGTGATTGCGGCCTTTTCTAATCCAGTAAAGGGGGATATGATTAGAAGTCACCCAATGGTGAAACAGATTTTGAAAGCAATCGAAGTCAGTAAACCGATTTCTAATAGGAAAAAAAATGGGATATCAATCAACTCGTGCTTTGGATGAAATCCCTTAAGGTTAATGTGGATAGTATATTTGAGCTTTCACGTCGATTGGCATTGATTTTGTTACTGGCTTCAGGGCGCAGAATCCTTGACTTAACCTTAATAAACATAGATTAGAATTCTATGATTCATAGTGATGAGTGGGTTGTATTTTGGCCTGTATGGATCAAAGACTGATAAGGCTTCCTGTATACAATCTGGGTGGAAACTGTTAAAACATAACGATGAGAATTTATATTCAATATTTTGGACAAAGAGAGAATTTAAATATTCTTTTTATTTCGGCTCGAAGGAAGGTTGGTCCAGCCTCGAGGACCGTTATTGAAGGACCGCCTTCGCAAGTGCTAACATTAATTGCTCTCCAGGTCCGCCGTATTGACATCGCTATTTCAGAATAATGTTCCCTTGGATGAAGTTTTACAGAATGCTAACTGGAAAGGAAAAGAGTACTTTTTTCAATATTATTTCATAGAAATTGAACGCTTTTCTAATAGACCATTCCAGGGTGACCTCATAACTGATCGGCCATTTCAACTGAGAAGCAGACACAAGGCAAACATAACCTGATTCAGTGTTATTTTAATGCAAACCGAGAATTTTTGAAGTATTATTTTGTGAAGATGCCTTCGTTTAGCGTTTTTGGGTGGTCGAATAGAGCTGAAAGGGATAAAGTGAGGTTTTTTAGGATTCCAGCAGCATTTGAAGATCGAGGGGATCGCCGGTACGAGTTATCAATAAAACGACGGAGTATGTGAATTAGATGCCTCAAAAGAGATTTGACTAAAACGTTGTTGAAAAATGCTCGAATTTGTTCGAATTATTGGTAAGTTTTATGACTGTCTTGTTGTTAAAATACAAAAATACGTCATCTAGGAATATCAAAACATTTGTTCATGTTTCTACAAGTAGGTAACTTTCAATACTTCTCAGGTAGTCTAGCAGAATTTGAGGATACAAACAATTCGGATTGGGTCCCCAGTAAAAATTTAGGATATACTACGATAATTGATAAAAGCCCAGATTGAACAAGCGAGTAAGCGACATGCCATATCTGTGCACCGATCAGAAAAACAGTCAAAACGTTCGAGGAGCCATTTTACCACAAATTTATTTTGATTGTTACTATCAAACTTTTTTATTTTTTAAACAATTTAGATTCTTAAGCATTATTTTTGTTATTAAATTGTTTACAATTCTTGAATTGAAATGTAAAATGGCATATCGGTAAATAAAGATTTATTCATTCATTCACAAAAACCAAAAATAAATTAAAATTTATTGAACGAATTAAAGAACGCAAAAATTCCGAAGCACAAGCTCAAAGAATAGTGTAAACAATAATGATCTATAGGCTTTGTCTGCTCCTCAGCAGCAAATATGGCGGATCTGTCAAAATCACCTGACCTGAAATGGTCAATACTCCCTGCATCCTGCATGAATACCAATAAGGCTGTTTTTGTGCCTGTATAGATTCATTGCTTCTTCCTATTTGATGCAATTTGTCTTAATCCCAATATTTGATACTTCTAGATTAGTGGTACCTATATTTGATATACATATATAATGAAGATTGATTGTTTAAAGTCTGGGACTGATCTTGTAGTACGCTTAGGTATCAATATTGTGATTTCTAGTTCTAGCACCTTATTCTAAGATATGTTTGTAAGCTTATATCATTTAGGTTTTACGTGCCTATATCATATATATGATATGATATATGACATCGAGCTTTAACCCATAACTGGTGAGGTCATTTTTTTGTTACATAACCGGTTACGTGGGGTTTGCTAAACCCCAAATGAAAAAGGCGATTCTGCTAATTCAAAATAAAAAAACGTGTATGTTATTCACTTTTGGGTAACATTTGTCGTCTTGGAACGCGTAGGTACCATCGTCACCAAAAGTATCTGGGACAAAAATAATTCATATTAATCTCCTGGACAGTCTACTGTATTGACCTTTTGTTTGGACGCCATATTGCGGTGCGCGAACATAGTTGCCAAAAGCAAAAAAAAAAATTACTAGCGAGCTGTCAACTTAAAAAAAAAAGTAACTACATGATTGATCGTCGCTATGCTTTTTGTTTGTTTACTTTCTCTCTCTGATTCTATTAGCATATCCAAAACACGTGACTTTGACAAGCAAACAAATGGTTTGTGTGCCTCTTGGCGGACATTTCTCTGCGTTTACAAATTTTACCGATAGATTCACCATTCTATGTCGGTCATTGTCATTTTCCATTCACTAAACAAAGATAGCTAACTCATAAGTCACCTATTAGAATAAAAACGAGGGGAAAAATTTAAGTTTGACAGCACCTTGACTAGTCAGCTATCCAAAACTGTCACAATGACAAACAAACAAGTTTGGATTAGATTTTCTCATTTATCATTTCAACTGCCACTTCCTAGTCTTGCCACTGGTGATATGTTCGAGGAGGAGGAAAGTGAGGAGACCCTTTTGCACAATAATACATCCAGGGCCTTTACTTCAAAGTATTTGAGGAGATACAGTGGTGGTCATACTTGTAGAATATGCAAAAAATCATCAAAATCGAAGAACAATGTGATTACAAAGTTGTTTTCTGTAAAAACATGCGAAAAAGGTTCTCTTCGAAAACAGTTTTTCTGTGAACAGCACAAGCCAGAAAGTAAGTACTCATAGTCAGACTTTAGATGGTTTTGTAGGGAGAACCTACCTACCTGTTTAAATATCTTATAGTACCTCTGCAAAAGAATTTTGTGAAAATTAGGTAGGTATGGTCTACCCTTGTCTTACCATGAACCCTATGTATACACATACCTATTTCATCTTTGATATGCACCTATTAAATTATACTAAGTTGATTTCATTTATGTTTGCAGCTCCATTTAGCATTGAAGATGCAATCATGAAGGAACACAATTATGCCTATATTCCTGGAAAATATGATGCAGAGCGATTTAAGTTGAACCAAGAATACATTTGGAAATTAGAAAATCAGGTGTCAAGTTTAGAAAAACAAAGTTCATTGCAAAGTCAAGCAAATCAAATATTAGAAGACACGTGTTTTATGAACTTTTACACTACATTTGATGATAAGCAGTGGTTTTTACAATGTATGGATGTTATTTTGGAATTTAGTAAAAATGCACCAAAAAACCTTAAGTCTGAAAAATGTTTGGTACCTGAAAGAATTCAACTTCTATTAACAATAATTCGTTTGCGTCTTGGCTTAATGGTAACTGACTTAGCTTCCCGTTGGCATTTAGATGTTGGCATTATATCTGTGATTACCAGACAGTGGATATATGTTCTTAATGCATTTTTTCGACAACTGCCGATTTGGCCTACTAGAGAAATTGTGCAAAAGTACATGCCTCAGTGTTTTAAGGCAAGATACCCAAGCACTAGAATCATTTTGGATGGCATGGAAATATTTATTGAGAAACCTTCTGATTGTTCACTCTAAAGTTCGACATATTCAACCTATAAAGCTCACAACACTGCTCGAGGAATTATAGGTACCTACCTAAACATTTCATTATACCTAAATAACTAATATTTTTGGAAAAAATTCGTTGCAGGCATTACACCAAATGGATTCATGTCATTTGTGTCACATTTGTATCCTGGGCGCGTTAGTGAAAAGGAGATTATTACTCAAAGTGGATTGTTTGAGAAATTAGCACCAGGGGATTCTGTAATGGCTGATAGAGGATTTACCATCCAAAATGAGCTAAGATCCATTGATGTGGATCTGAATATTCCACCTTATCTAAAAGGTGCAACTCAGCTTCCATCTGAAGAAGAACAAATGACAAGAGACATAGCAAGTGTCCGCGTTCATGTTGAAAGAGCGATACGCAATATCAAAATATTCAGGATACTTAGTAGAACAGTTCCAATCACTATGGCAGATCAATTAGATTCAATTTGGACAATATGTTGTCATATGACAAATGTGAATCGTCCACCATTATTAGACCGATCCTTGGGGTCTGATTTCTCAAACAATCTACAAATGTAGCAGGTTTTTTGCAAGGGCCCTGCATTGTTACAGATCGATCTAAATCTTTTGTTTTATTTAATAAATATTTTGAAAAGTTGTATTTTTTTCCAATCAAGCACTGTAGGTATAGCAAGCAAATCCCTACATCCCTTGTATTTACTTTTGCCATCTAGCACCGAAATAAAATGTGATAAATTCTACAAATAGAGTGAAAGGGATTTAAAAAACAGACTATATTCAGATTCAGATTTTGCTGCATAAACAAATTCTAAAGTGAGTTGAATGTGGAAATACATAACTTGTCGTAATAATAATTACAAATATGGAAATATGTTTTCTAGAATGCAGGATATTCCCAAAGGTCCTTGGACTAAGGATTTTAGATCTTTTCCCAAAACATTTTCTGAACAAAAATTACTGTCTTATAAGGAAGTAAAAAAGGAGGGTTCTGTAAAGCACCATCTTTTGGGATATAGAATGTTCAAAGCTTCAAAAGTAAGTGATATTTACTTACATTATTCGATAAATTCGGTTTTAGTAAAAGCTAATGTTGAAGCAACTATGAAAAGACAAAGATACCTTTGCCATATACATATAGATAATTTTGGAATTGTGGGAAGAGAAAAATGTGGTTGTATGGGAGGAATAAGTGGCCGATGTAAACACATATTTGCAGTGCTTTATCAGCTTCTGGACCATCTTAGAGAGGAGCGAACTAATGTTTTGGATGAACCAGTTCCTCCAACATCACAGCCCAGAACATGGAGTACTGGGTCTGATCGCCAAGTTGTGAAACAACAATTTCATGACCTTAAATTCAATAAACCTGATCCAAACAAACCTAATAAAAGAGCTGCAGCAATTCAGGAATGTAGGACAACGTTTAATAGGCATCATCTAGAAAATAACCTCTCACCTATTATTATCAAAGAGTTTGCAGAATCTTTAGAGAAGAATAATTTAACCATGTTTAGTGAAGTACTTGCAAGTCATAATTATGAACCCATATCCATAAAGCTTCCAAATAATCCAACAAATAAAAATGAGTGTGACAGTTTAAAGAGACCAAAAGAATTGCCTCTGCCACTAAAAATTAATTGGATATGGTGCCAAGAGTATCTAAAAGTAGTTTTTTGTGAATCTTTGCCAAATATAGATTTTATTAATAATGTGAGTCTGTCTTTGGATGACTGCAGATTTTTAGAAGTTGAAACAAGAAACCAAAGTTCTTCCAGCAGATGGCATTTGGAAAGAAAAAAACGCATCTCAGCTTCTAAATTTGGTGCTATTATTAAAAGGACTATTCCAGTTACAATTCAACTGATTAGCAGAATTTGGCCAAGCACAGGGTTTAAAAGTGCAATGATGCAGCAGGGTCTTATCAATGAAACTGCAGCAGTGTCGAAATATAAAGATTTATACCCAAATGTTGATGTGTTCACATGTGGCCTGTGCGTCAACCCTGGAATTCCTTTTTTAGCAGCATCGCCTGATCGCCTTGTTTATGATCCTGAAGAAAACACTGTGAATCTGCTTGAAATTAAGACTTTGGTTAAAAGTGGACTCTTAGAAAACCAGCAGGTTCTAGAAGCTTTTTCAAAAGGCTCGGTTTCATATCTAGAACTGTATAATGGAAATCTACAGCTAAGAAGGAACCAAGATTTCTTTTTTCAGGTTCAAGGCCAAATGGCTATTACAGGTATTGGGATTTGTGATTTTTTAATCGACAGTGGCAGCGATTTTTTTGTTGAAAGAATCGATTTTGATGAGCGCTTTTGGATCCAACAATGTTTACCTAAGTTAACAAGATTTTTTTTTCAGTACTTTCAATAAAATCCTTTTTGCATTGTATTTCTAGTTTTTCCGATGGTTTTTCTTCTTAATTTTTCTAAATATCCCCAAAAACCTCTCAGTTGAAAACATATTGTCCAAATTGAATCTAATTGAACTGTTCTACTAAGTATCTTGAATATTTTAATATTGCGTATTGCTCTTTCAACATGAAAGCGGACACTTGCTATGTCTCTTGTCATTTGTTCTTCCTCAGACGAAAGCTGATTGCACCTTTCAGATAAGGTTGAATATTCAGATCCACATCAATGGATCTTAGCTCATTTTGGATAATAAATCCTCTATCAGCCATTACAGAATCCCCTGGTGCTAATTTCTCAAACAATCCACTTTGAGTAATAATCTCCTTTTCACTAATGCGCCCAGGATACAAATGTGACACAAATGATATGAATCCATTTGGTGTAATGCCTGCAACGAATTTTTTCCAAAAATATTAGTTATTTTATTTAGGTATAATGAAATGTTTAGGTAGGTACCTATAATTCCTCGAGCAGTGATTTGAGCCTTATAGGTTGAATATGTCGAACTTTGGAGTAAACAATCAGAAGGTTTTTCAATAAATATTTCCATGCCATCCAAAATGATTCTAGTGCTTGGGTATCTTGCCTTAAAACACTGAGGCATGTACTTTTGCACAATTTCTCTAGTAGGCCAAATAGGCAGTTGCCGAAAAAATGCATTAGGAACATATATCCACTGTCTGGTAATCACAGATATAATGCCAACATCTAAATGCCAACGGGAAGCTAAGTCAGTTACCATTAAGCCAAGATGCAAACGAATTATTGTTAATAGAAGTTGAATTCTTTCAGGTACCAAACATTTTTCAGACTTAAGGTTTTTTGGTGCATTTTTACTAAATTCCAAAATAACATCCATAAATTGTAAAAACCACTGCTTATCATCAAATGTAGTGTAAAAGTTCATAAAACACGTGTCTTCTAATATTTGATTTGCTTGACTTTGCAATGAACTTTGTTTTTCTAAACTTGACACCTGATTTTCTAATTTCCAAATGTATTTTTGGTTCAACTTAAATCGCTCTGCATCATATTTTCCAGGAATATAGGCATAACTGTGTTCCTTCATGATTGCATCTTCAATGCTAAATGGAGCTGCAAACATAAATGAAATCAACTTAGTATAATTTAATAGGTGCATATCAAAGATGAAATAGGTATGTGTATACATAGGGTTCATGGTAAGACAAGGGTAGACCATACCTACCTAATTTTCACAAAATTCTTTCTTTTGCAGAGGTACTATAAGATATTTAAACAGGTAGGTAGGTTCTCCCTACAAAACCATCTAAAGTCTGACTATGAGTACTTACTTTCTGGCTTGGCCTTGGCACCTTGGTGCACCTTGGCTTGTTCACAGAAAAACTGTTTTCGAAGAGAACCTTCTTCGCATGTTTTTACAGAAAACAACTTTGTAATCACATTGTTCTTCGATTTTGATGATTTTTTGCATATTCTACAAGTATGACCACCACTGTATCTCCTCAAATACTTTGAAGTAAAGGCCCTGGATGTATTATTGTGCAAAAGGGTCTCCTCACTCTCCTCCTCCTCGAACATATCACCAGTGGCAAGACTAGGAAGTGGCAGTTGAAATGATAAATGAGAAAATCTAATCCAAACTTGTTTGTTTGTCATTGTGACAGTTTTGGTTAGCTGACTAGTCAAGGTGCTGTCAAACTTAAATTTTTCGCCTCGTTTTTATTCTAATAGGTGACTTATGAGTTAGCTATCTTTGTTTAGTGAATGGAAATTGACAATCACCGACATAGAATGGTGAATCTATCGGTAAAATTTGTAAACGCAGAGAAATGGCCGCCAAGAGGCACACAAACCATTTGTTTGCTTGTCAAAGTCACGTGTTTTGGATATGCTAATAGAATCAGAGAGAGAAAGTAAACAAACAAAAAGGATAGTGACGATCAATCATGTAGTTACTTTTTTTTTAAGTTGACAGCCCGCTAGTAATTTTTTTTTTTTGCTTTTGGCAACTATGTTCGCGCACCGCAATATGGCGTCCAAACAAAAGGTCAATTCATAATTTGACAAATATTTGACACCTAAAATCATATAATAGTACAAGAGCTAACATGATGCTGTCCCAGTTACTTTTGGTGACGATGGTACATACTTTCACCCAGAGATTCACGGCTTGACTTGATTTTCAAGCTACTTGGCTTGACTTGATATCAAGTCAATATCAAGTCAAGTATTTGTTTCTGAAATTCAAGTCAAGTCAAGTAGTTACACATCAAGTAACTTGAAATCAAGTTTTTCAAGCTAACTACTTGATTTTTCTTGAAAAAATACTTATTTTTTAATTTTAGCACTCGACCGCGACAAACGAACAAAAAGAACCACTTTGCTCCATTGTTTAGGGGTCGAAAATGATGCTTTCTAATAAGGTAGTAAAAAAATATGTATTTGACAGTTATTTACTTTCAGTTTAGTCTCTGTTCTGTTCAAAACTGATTGACCCAGTTCCCCAATCGAACACAAAAGGTCACTCGAGTTGTCCCAATCGAAAAAAAAATTGCAAGAAGGTTGCTCTAGTGCTGCCCGAATTTACCTATCGGAAACACTTTAAAATAAACTGTGCTTTAAAATTCTCTTTTTGGGCGTGGCACTCCGAGCTTTCCCTTGTGCAAGACCAAATCCTATAGTCGCCACTGTTATTATGTATTTCAATTATTTTTAGTTTATTGAACTAGGAGTTAGGAGTATGTAATGGGTATGTTTATTAGGTTAATACAAAGTTGGGAAATTTGGGTTGCAACCCCCCTCTTCCCCAATATGATGTGCTTTGGTACGCCTCTGCCTAAAGGGAGGAATAAAAAATCCTGCACGCAGGCGCTTCACCCCCCAGGAACTGGCCTGGCTGTAACGTCGGTAAATCCCCTATTTAACCTAGGTGAATCCCCTATTTTAACGCTTCGATGCGCATTTCACAGATCGCTATCAAGTAATATCAAGTAGTTTGATTTTACTTAATATCAAGTCAAGTAGTTCAGGCCGAGAATCAAGTCAAGTCAAATATCAAATTTTCAAAACCTTGAGTTTTCAAGTCAAGTCAAGTATATAAGGAAAAATTCAAGCTACTTGGCTTGATGAATCCCTGCTTTCACCAAACAAAAAACAAATATTTTAGGAATAATTCAATTTTACTGTGAGACTGCACAAAACACAAATCAAAACTAATTTCTAATTGCTGGAAGTAATCAAACTGAAAATGTAGCATAAAAAATACAAAATGGCGTAAAAGTGCCTAAAAATCTTTGAAAAACATTCAAGGAACAAAGTTTTAGCAAAATTGTATTTCAAGTAAACTTTTTGGAGAGCAATTAACCCAAACGACTCACAGTGAGGTGGGGTTACGCAAACCCCAATTTGTACAAAAATCGTAATATCGCACACCAAGTAGGATATCGCGCGTTGTTGATACCGTTAGGGTACTAACGGAAAACAGACCGAAAGCGGGTTAAACTGCTAGAGGGATCAACAAGCATATTTATTTGGTTCCATAATGAGGCAGCGGGGTCAGAGGGGTGATTCATCCGATAAACAAAACGAAAAGAGGCCCTGTTGCCGAATTTTTCCTGTTCGAATAATAATGAATATTGTCATCTAACGAAAAGTATCTATTCCAAATTTGTCTGCTTATAATAATATTAAAAATATACTTGCGACATTTTAAGTCTATACCCAAAATAATTCTAAAACAACAATACCTTTTATCACAATTCAATTTGGTTTTAAATGGAACCACGTACCTGCTTCTAAAGAAAGATTTTACTGTCTGGCAATGACGTAGTAATTGTTTTGAGTTCTCTCCTTTCTTGTGACAGATCAGCTGATTGCGTTCGAGAACCTGGTGTGTCGTAAAAAAATCACACAGCTGCCGTTCGGAAAGGCGAAGTGTGGATTAAAATCATACGGTTTTCGGCATTCGGAAGGGTGTTTGACACGTACTGGTGCGCGCACCGAATACTCTAGTCTCGACTAGAGTGAAATTTAAGCTGATATTTTGAAGATGCACTCTCTGGAATAATTTTCACACCAATAACCAGGTTTTCGAATGCAGATCTTTGATGCCCAAAACATAAACAGACTGGTTTATAAACATTCTATTTTCATAAGTGCAAGAGAGAGGGCCTGGTCTCATTCTGGAACCAAACAAATCCTATAGCACATTATCATCGTTATTAGTCTAGAAAGAGAGAGTGTTCAATGGTCGAAGATATATGATGAATTTTTGTTCGTTTACTGCGCACTCTCGGTTCGATACGAATCGTGCGGCCACGGTTGCGCTCAGAACCTAGACGACGTGAAAAGAGGGACAGACAGCAAATACAGTGGAGGAAAATAGTGAGGTAATCTATCTCATAATGAGTCAAGCCTAGAAGGCTAGAAGTAATTTTTAACCCCTCGAGGGAAAAACGCTGTATATTATTTGTATTTTTTTTTCAATTTCCTTTCAGGTCCACGTCCAGAACCACGGTAATGAATTAATTCTCACCTGATTTGTATTATCTTCGGAACTATCAAAGTTATTATTATTATTATTAGGCATTCCAACGTTGTTTTGTTTCGGAAAAAATTGATCGAGGATCTTCAGACCTATGGTTTTCGCTTTTTTCTCTTCTTCTTTCTCGATATTATTAGAATTCTATAAATAATAAAATTACTACATAAGCACCTGCATCATGCAATAATAATAAGTAAAGAAAAAACAGCTGCTGGCGACAACAATGAGACCCGAGAGCAAAATATCGAACATTAATATATCAAAAATGCAAAATATTTGAAAGATACAAAACAACGCATCTACTCAAATATCAATTATTTTCTGCAGCATTTGGTGTTCTTAGGTTTAGGAAAGTCATCCGATTGAGTGGATCCTGGAAATTCTGGAATTATTTTGCAGGGACCATAGAGGGTTCCGGTTTCTGCCTGCTAAGTCTGGATGAGCTCATACAATTAGTAGGTACCTACGTGTTTTCGAACTTAATCATTCCAGGTTCCCACTTCAAAATGTTACTCTACAATCCTCGCTGTCACCAGCAGACAAACTCATGATATATATCGCAGATTATTCGGCCAATGGTGACGTATCGGACCGCGGTATAGAATATCACGTAAACCGCATGCAGCGGTTTCAAAATCTTATTTTGAAGAATGTTCCTTCGGAAACCAGGTACGCTAGGTTTAGGAACATGCACGAGCAAGCGGATTTTTCGTATATTTCTGACTGTCTGGACGAAGCGAGTGAGCGATTCTATCGCCATCAAATCCACGGCATCAAGCCTTTCCCGAAATCTTGTTTACTCACTCTCTCACATTCCACCAAATACCAATGCACATCCTAACTCTGTTGTTGTAGAAAAACTGTCACCATTTTATAAGCGAGAATGATAAAAAAATTACTTACACGCGGTTGAAGGACATTCTTCTCTTTTTCCTTTGCGACTTTGGGAACTACTAATCGAATCTTGCACTGCGGCGCTTTGGGTAGTGAAGATTGACTAATAGCACTTGCGATTTGCTCTGTTGTTTTATTGATCGTTTGACTGCAGCGAAAAAATTGATAAGAAGAAATGTACATTTCTATCAATACCAACTTTAAATTAAGTGCATGCAAATTGAGATGCTGAAAGGGCAAAAAACCTATATATTATAAAAATATTGTGCATTTACTACTTACCTTATTTATATCATGTTCAATAGCAGAATAGACAATAGACGGTATGAACAATGTATAATTATCACATTGAAAGGGCGATTTAACTGGCCTGTCTTCAAATAAATTGGGATGATTGCACACTTTTCTTAATTGCATTAGAATGTTCATAACTCTTAACAGAGTGCCTCCGGCAAGACCTTCCCGTGTCTGTTCTCTGGACATATAGTCATCATAAAGAAAGCGTTGTCTTTTTGATAGTCGACACATTATGATGTGTTCATATTTTTTTGGCAACTGTTTTTCTACTTCTGATTTTAGACGTCTTAATAAAAATGGCCTTAACACCTAAAATGAACAAAGGTTAAAAAATTCGATAAAGAGGTTTGACACCAAGCTTGAATGAAAATTATCTGAAGTAATGTATTTCTATATGTATATAGATTGTGGTTTCTATTTGTGGCAGAGAAGTCAGAGTGTTGTCTCCGGACGTTTCCGGTAGCTTGAGTGTTAGCGCCGGCGTTCCGCAAGGGTTTGTTTTGGGGCCATTGTTATTTTTGCTGTATATGAATGATCTTCCTCCAGTTGTAAAGAGTGGTCTGTGCACTTCCTTTGCTGATGATACCACAATAGTTTGGCATCATAAAGACACTGTCATGCTGACTGCTATGGTGAACTATGACGTAGCAAGAATCAAAATGTGGTATGACTCCCATCATAGAGAAATATAATAGTAGTAAACTACGAGAGACGTTTGTTTAATGTAACAATCTGGAAGTGTGTTTGTGCACATACCCGTAGCGTATTTCGCATGGTGTGGCAGATTATTGAACTAATTACTTCGATCGTTTCTGACAACTCGGTTTAATTTATCTTTGTCAGCAACTTGCCCGAAAATGTTCTATCTTTTTTTAACACATACAAAATACAAAATTTGACAAATGATTGAATCCAAAGACCATCAATCAAAAACTGAATGCTCACCACAGAACATATCACCTATAGAAGAATATCTCAAATGGGAGAATCTCGACGGAGGTTTTTAGTTAGGTTTTTAGTCAACGATGGCGACACTGTCGGGAGATAAGAGAAATTTACAGGTATCTGTAGTGTGGACAGTGATTTGTGTTGGTTGGTTTTGTCATTTATTTTGTCATTTTAAAAGTCAAAATTTGAATTTTTAAATTGTGTTGTTGTAAACCATGGTCCCCACGCGCGTTAAAGTGAAAATTCAAAAAGTTTTGGTTTTAAAAAACCCTAATTTTTGTTCGTATTTTTTTGTATTTACTCGTTTGTTTCGTTTCGTTCGTATTTGTATTTATTATTCGTATTTACTTTGCGATCTACCTATAGCTGCGTGTCTCTTGCTAACTTACTAACTCTTTTTGCACTATGTTCGACATTGGAAACTTCCTGCCAGTCATCGTTTTCAAGAAAATGAGGCGCAAAGAGCTAAAAGTCAGCAAGCCAAATGCAGTTGAACATTAAAAATTATTTTAAAAAAATAAAAATATATGAAAAAAATCAATTCGCCTTTTTGTCAAGAATGCTCGATTAGTTGGGTTTTCAGTCAACGATGGCGCTGTAATTCATAACCGGTACATAACATTGCAGATACTTTTCTAGAGGTGATATGTTCTGTGATGCTCACAATCATAACGTAAAATTTCTTCTATTATTTATATTAGAGAAATGAGAAAACATTCTGTGATCATAAATATTAATTAATTAGACAAAGCCGACACCAATAATAGTGTGTTTTCGAATTTGCGATGATGCGAGATGCAGTAAAAAGGTAAACACAAATAGTCCAGGAGGTGGCGCCAAAAACATGCAAGAGTTTTCGCAAGGCGGATATTTTCAAAATAGGTCGTACTTTAGTGCTAGAATGCTAGTGTACAGTCAGCACTCACAGTTCCGGGACAGCTGGCTCTGGGACGCGGGCAAAGTTGTAATTTTAAGAAGCATCTAAACTGTTTTCTCAAAGCTCAAATTTTATAGAAATTTTGCACATTATCTGTTTGAAGGTCACAGATAACGTATGTAAATCGTCAGACGTCTAATTCGTTCCAAAAAGGGGGTCAGACGTCCTTCAAGTTCTTATTTTATGGCATTTTCTTCGGTGTCCTGTCAAAATATATTTTTGCAGGTATTTGACAAATATATTTGAAGAAAATGCCATAAAATAAGAACTTTGAGGATGTCTGACCCCCTTTTTGCAACGAACTAGACGTCTGACGATTTACATACGTTATCTGTGACCTTCAAACAGATAATGTGCAAAATTTCTATAAATTTTGAGCTTTGAGAAAACAGTTTAGATGCTTCTTAAAATTACAACTTTGCCCGCGTCCCAGAGCCAGCTGTCCCGGAACTGTGAGTGCTGACTGTATACTAGCATTCTAGCACTAAAGTACGACCTATTTTGAAAATATCCGCCTTGCGAAAACTCTTGCATGTTTTTGACGCCAGCTCCCCAACTAAAAGCTTATAATACAAACATTTTTAGTTACTGTATATACAGGGTGTATATTTTAAGTGATACCACTATTGCTATATCCGAAACGGTAAGAGATACAAGGTCCGTTAAATTAGAAAAAAGTTGCCTTTTTTGATGCCCATTCAAGAGTTGTTTATAGTGTTGCCCAATTCCTTTTAGTTCATGAAATACAGGGTGATTTCTAAAAACCGCCCAAAACTATTTCATCAATTATTTCGAAAACTATTGATATTCGAGACAAAATTTAAATTTGAAAGTTTTATAATTTTTTTTGCTCTACAATATGGCATTTTTAAATTTTAACTCTGACGTTTCGTGATCGAGCTACCATCATCAACTTAATTTTTTTAAATACGGACCTGGATTTTTTATGTCATTTTTAGAAAGGGAATAAAGGCACTTTCTAAAAATGACATTAAAAATCCAGGTCCGTATTTAAAAAAATGAAGTTGATGATGGTACTTCGATTACGAAATGTCGAATTCAAAATTTGAAGATGCCATGTTGTAGAGGAAAAAAAATTATAAAACTTTCAAATTTGAATTGTGTCTCGAATATCAATAGTTTTCGAAATAATTGATGAAATAATTTCGCTCGTTTTTTGGAAATCACCCTGTATTTCATAAACTAAAAAGAATCTGGCAACACTGTAAACATTTCTAGGATGGGCAGCAAAAAGGGCAACTTTTTTCTAATTCAACCGACCTTGCAGCTCTTACCGTTACCGATATAGCAATGGTGGTATCACTTAAAATATACACCCTGTATTTATAAAATTGGAATAAAAAAATAAGTTTGTTTGAAGATATCTCAATTTTTGTATTGTTCAATTACCTCCTTGACCCCCTTAAGGAATCTCATTGCATCTAATTTGGATTTTTTAAAAATAAGTTCTGTTATCGTTCTAAATAGTTGCTCGGTAAATTTTAGCAAGTTTTTTCAACAAATGTTTTGCTTTGCAATTAACTGTTTTGAGCGTTTACAGTACTTTATTTTTAATAAATCTTAAATAAAATCAAAGTTAATAATTTAATTATTCAAAAAAGCCGCCTTTTCACTGTCGGTGAAGAAGAAACCTGCATTCAAACAATGTTCACTCTTTTATTGCTGTCCGTAGCCACCAGAGGCGCTAACGTCGACATTGTGCCAGTTAAGTACAGGGGAATGACTTATGACTTCTCTCGTAGTTTACTACTATTATATTTCTCTATGACTCCCATCGGCTGTCATTTAATATTCAAAAGTGATTCAAAATTCATCCATCATGAATTTTAAGTGTAATCTTGATAATGTTTTTCTAGGTAAGGTAATACTATTATAGGCAGAAGCATGGAGACCAAATACCTTGCCCTGATGGTTGATGATCAGCTCAGGTTTGACAAACACACTGAGCATTTATGTAAAAAAATATCATCAGCATGCTTTGCTGTTGGAACTGTCAAGGCTGAGCTAGGTGAATCGGTTGCTAGACGGGTGTATTTTTCTTTAATCGAGTCACATCTTAGTTATGGCATTTGCTTCTGGGGCTGTTGTTGCTCATTAACATTGTTCAACATCATATTTGTTCCTCAGAAGCGTGCTATAAGGTCAGTATGTAGTCTTAGTCCACGGAACTCATGCAGACCATTCTTTATAGGCAGACGTATTTTAATCTTGCCTTGTATATTAATTTTAGAATCTGTGTTGTGTGTCTCATGCAGAAGAAGTACTCCTCTAATATTCATGCTCCCTCCTTAGTCAATACCAGAAGTTCACATGTAATTGACCTACCAATTCCCACATCCTCGCTATCTCAAAAATCGGGCCTCCCAGACGTCGCTAGGGCCCGGCCCCCTGGGCCTCCCTGAGGTTACGCCGCTGGTAAAATTATGAATAATTTTACGTTTATCTAGGTTAACTTGGATCTAAATCCGTTGCACGTCATCAATGGCACCAACTCCGCTTATATCTTATATTGCATTAGCTGGTGAACCTCATATGAATAAAACAGATGCAAATGCTTTTGCTCAAGAATTTTGGGATAAACATATCCAGCTTCAATGCAGCAAAAAGAGACAGAAGTAGAGTAAAAGCATTTGCATAATAATATTGTAATACCACTATTTATCAATAAAGAAATATAGAATATTATGGTTTAATGCAATTTTGCGTTTCGGAGATTGAGCGAAATGCTATTGCCAAGACTGTGCTTCCGTTTTTCGGTCTTGATCTTCCAGATTGAAGATTGAATTCTTCCTGATTCAGGTAGTTCCTTATTTTTACGACGTGAGATTGGCGTTGGCTGCACTCTTATTTTTCTGGAAATGCTCCCGCATATTCGACTTTTGACTTTTAAAAAGTTTACAATTTGAGAAAGAGTTAGTTGTTTCAACAAGGCATTGAATTTCATGAGGGATAAAGTATTTTTTTCTGCGATTGACAAGAAATGTCAGCATTTTTGACCGGTTGACAGGTCGCAAAACTCAATATTCTGGTATTTCAATTATGTTTCAATAGTTGCTGAGGAATCAATGAATAACAATACGGGAAATAACGGATTCTTGTATTGCTGAATAATTGGAACTAAAAGACAAACATTTAACAGGTATTTAACCGATCGCAGAAAAAATAGTATGTGTATTTCGGTGGAAACGCACATTCTCGGCCTTCGGTGTTTGCCAGCCTCGGCTACGCCTCGCCCGTCAACTTACTCCGTCGGCCGAGAATGTGTCACTTTTCCACCTAAATACACAATATACTATTCTGGGCTTCGAATTGCTTCTAGTATACTTATTATACGATCAAGTTTGGAGCGCGTTTGTAAAATTTCTTTTTCAAAATGGCTTTTACTTTCCTTGGCGTTTACTTG